AATGGTTTTTCTGTTGCAGAGGAAGTACCAGTAAGCCTGCAGGTGTGAGCCAGTTAAAAGAAAAGATTTTGGTTAAATAGATTCTTTGGCTGTCAGGGATTAGAGTCATGGCACCACTAGTAACACACATCTTTTTCCTTTAATTTACAAAATTTTCTCACGAGTTTGCAAGAGTTCACCCCATCAAGAGCTTTCAGAGGCCACTGAAACGTCTTAAGTTTTAATTAAGTTAGAGTTGTCAGAAGAAAGCTTTTTTGGCACAGAGTCAGGGTCATTAATTACTTCTATCTTTGTTTCTTTCCAGGGAAAAAATTGTGCATGTTTTGTTTCTACCCTGAAACCTTTATTCACTCCCAAACAAGAATATATTCAGCAGTTGGATAATCTTCAATTTAGAAATATTTTCAATCCTGATTTAGGGCACATGTTGATCATGCTTGTGCTCCTTGTAATCATGAAGGATCCTCAGATTCTAATTTTTTAGTTCACAGCTTTATTATTTTCTTGCTATACTAATATAGGTAAATATTTGCATTCATATTCATTCTCAGAATGATTTATAATAAACATTTTTATTGCCAAAGCAGCTTATCATTTTTTCTATGTTCTCATCTTACACTGAAATTAATATGCTCTTTGAACACAAACTGCATGTGCACTAAATGACCACTAATTGAAAGCAGAGGGATTACTAAGATAAACATTTAAAGTTGCTATCATGTCCTAGCAGTTTGTATATCACATCAAAATCACTTTTATTTCAGAGACGGATTTGTTTGCCTATCCACAGCTCTTACTATATCAGAGATATAAAACAAAGTATCTACCATTTTTCACATAAAACAAATACGCAAACAATGTTTATTTAGAAATAAGAAAAGTTCTAAGTTGCACAACTCTCTCTGTTAATAAAAACTGGATAATATCTAGAGTTATAATATGAATAGCATACAATTCTTTGACTCTAGCAAGCTGTTCAGCTACCTAGCCAGTTTTTTAAAAACATACCCTTAGTGTCAGTTAAATTGTTTACTAATAATATTGGTAGCATTTTAGACAAAAATGTACTTTCCATATATTTATACTATATTCACAAATACATACAAACACAAATGTAGAATGAGACAAATCACAATGCTAATACTTATATATTGTTTTTGATGATTTTTCTGTACAATCCTTGAATAAATATTTTAAAGGGAATTAAGCAATAAAATGCTGTGAATTAAAAAAATGTATAAAACTATGTCATCAAAATATGAGGCCGGGAAAATATATTCATATATAAGCTAAGGGGGGATTTCCTTCTTATTAACTAAAAACAGTCCTATTTTTATTATGCCTATTGTTGAATTCTGGACAATTCCAGTCAGATTACCAGACAAAACCTTCCAGGTATAGTCAGGTTGTAAGGAAAAACATTTGGTTCTTCATATATTTGGGATCCATTTTTCATGTTATAAAATGGACCAAAACCAGACAAGTTCTTAAAATACCTGTGGAACGAATTTGGAAATTTTAGAGTCTCAGGAAGATGTATTCACAACAATTGATAACTAATAACCTACAAGTTGGAAAGACTAACAGCATATTACAATTAGTAAGGCATTTAGTACCTGCTCATAATAGTGCAAAAACCAAAAGGCTGCTTAATGTAGGCCTTGCTGTATATAACATTCAACATCTATTGAAGAAGCTGGCTCACCAGCCATGCTCATTTCTCGATTAGTGACTTTCAGGGTCTTCTGGAGACATTCAACCACTGCCCTAGTATACCAGTAATGAGACAGACTTTATATCATTTCAATAATGATTTGGTGCAGAGGTGGTATTCAGTAGGTTCTGACCAGTTCTGGAGAACCAGTAGCGAAAATTTTGAGTAGTTTGGAGAACTGGCAAATACCACCACTGACTGGCCCCGCCAACCCCATCTATTCTCTGGCTCCCGAGTCCCAGATAATCGGCTGGGTCTTCTTTTATTGCCTGCACAGGAGAACGGAGCTGGAAAGCAGGTTAGTGGAGTGGGGAGGGAATGGAGATTTTACAGTATCCTTCCCCTGCCACACCCACCAAACCACGCCCTCAGAACCGGTAGTAAAAAAAATTGAATTCCACCACTGGTTTAGTGGTTTATGAAATTGTTATTACTTACTAGTGGAGAAATGGCATTAAGCAGTCTTTGGGCATTTGCACTATTTTGAACTTATCCACATCCTTAGACATTTACAACTGAAACTTTTCCAAAACCCAGGGTGATGCTCTGGACATATTCCTTACTAAAAGTGTAGCTGCCATGCCAAAGTCAATACAGTTATGAGCTAGTTTATCCTTATATCAAATATATTACAAAGTGCTACAAGTTACTCAAAATCTCAAAACAGCTGAAAATTTTTGCTGGGTAATGTGTCATGCTTTAATGTTAATATCAGATACTTAATTATTTCTTCAATGATACCACTGAGTATAATTAAACTTTGGTGAGATTCCTATAGAGCTGAAAAATTCTACTTCTGCAGTATAGATATCTCCTTGGAGATTTCATTGCTTTTATGTCCCTTGAAAACCAGGAGTGTGTAGTTGATTTTCTCTGTGAAAAAGGATATATAAGAGCAATCATATCTACCACCCAAAATATTGTTTGTACAAGACAAATACATTTTTAAAGGGAATGCCAACCCTGCCTATTCCATCAATCAATTCTATGTTAATCTAAATATCAGAAGGAAGTGATT